GAAACCTGTTTGTGAAAATAACGTTTTGTGCTCTCCATTCTATAACCGTACACATAAGAGTTCATAACCTAACCAAACCAATCGATTCCTCGTCCAAAGATACCTTGAAACCATAGCTGTATCCTTTTGAGACCCACGACCCACACAACACACCGCACACACCTCAGGCACACCACCAAAGCCACCCCCACCACCAGCGTGACGTCACCTTACCGGTCGTCCTAAACTTATTCACGTTATTGACGTTCATTTCATTTGTGTCAGGTAAAATTAATGAAATGAAAACAGTATGACTGCAATAGAATGCCCAATGCCGCGGCGCCTGTGGTTGCTACGCTCATATTCGTACGTTTATTCGCAGCAAGGAACCCCCTTGCCAGTATAGGCGCGGCCGACGGCCATTACAGAAGATTACCTCTCCCTCTCTCTCTCGTCGGTTGTCCGTTTCCGGTCAAACGTTTCGCCGTGCAGAAAAAAATGTCCTGCAGGAATTGCCTGGAGGCCTTTGACCTGCAAGAGAGAACGCCGAAGGGCCTTCCTTGCGGCCATGGTATCTGCTCCGCTTGTGTGCAGGTGTTACGCGAAAAGAAGAAGTGCCCAGCATGCGGTTTCGTAAGTCACCAATAACCTCACTGTGCTCCTGTATTTCTCAATACAGTGTGTCCTTCCGGGACTGACATAGCGGCCCCCACCCATCATTGTTAGAGGTGTTTGTTGACGATGCTGTGATCGTCGATGACTATACGGTTATCCAGTATCTAGAAAGGAAGCAGCGGGATCGGCCTGTAATCTGGTGGTGCATGGCTTGCAAAGAGAGGGCCAAGGAAACATGCGCTGACTCGGGCCACAGACTTTGCTCTCAAGACAAGTTTCTCGCCGAACAAATGGATAATTTGTAATTAATTGTTTTTTATTCAATAAAGTATACTGTGAGGAGAATCCAAGTACTTTATGTGCTAATTAAATTTGCCCTCCTCCACCAATCACAGAAATGAACAGCGTTATTTTTTAATTTTACATTGACAGTATTGTAAAGTGAGGTCTTGATTTTAAAAAACTGTTCCTGCCAGATTCATGATTATTTTTGGTGCTGTGTGCTGAGGGCATTCATGTCGTGCTTTTTATTTAAGTCAAGAATGGTTGGAGGCATCTCTTATTATTCGCTGACATTTCTGCTGACTTTTTAAACCCTCAATTTCTCATTCAGTAACTGATTTCAGGTATGAAAAGGACTTTTAAATTTTAGACTCTTTGATGTGTATTTTGCCAGGGTCATGCCACCTCTATAATGGCCCAGATCCTGGCTAGAATATAGGTATTTTTCTCTACGATGCTTCGGAAGAAAGAACAGGCTGAATCACATTGGGAGGGGCTTTGCTCCCTTTGCAGACACAATTCCAAATCTTTGAGCACATCTGTGTGCTTCATTTGAGCCATGATTGGTTAAGTGCGGTTAAAGATTGGTGTATCTGCATTGCAAAAAAATTTGTGAGATTTATCATGACTCTTCTGTCTTCGCTGAAACTAAAATCCGCCACATATTTTTGTCCCTTCTCATCTGAATCGAAAACTGATTGCAGATCAGAAAACTAGATTGTGACTTATTGGTACTCATTTGATGAGGGTCTAGGAACTAGCAGTGTTATGAATGAGGTCCCCAGTATTTTTCTGATGATCATGGAACTCATTTGAAGCACATCTGAAATCATGGAGCTTAAAATAAAAATTTCATTTTTGGCAATTGTAACCCAATTTTAAAAATAGTTGAAAAATAGAAAAAAGGCATGTGGCGCCTTCATATTTGCAAGTGAGAACCTTTGATATGTTGACTTATCAGATCCACACTCTCATCCTGTTACGATGAATAGGTTTTGTAGCGGAGAGAATCTACTATGCCAACAGCATCAGCTTTCATCGGTCATTGGATTGGATAGCCTCTGGAAGGCAACCAGTCTTGTGAGTAAGGTCATGAGTATTTTTCTGGGTGTCGTAGGAGTCCCAGGAAGCCCCTCTGAAAGTATGGAGGGTGAAATTTTTTTTTTTGATTTTTGACCAATGTAACCCAATTTTAAAAATAGTTGAAAAATAGAAAAAAGGCATGTGGCGCCTTGTCCTGATATCTTCTCATCACTTAATAAAATTGGTAATTTCATGTTTTTATGTCGACTTTTATTACGAGAAATGTGGGCCCTACTTTTTTGAGTGAACAGTCCACTTCATAAAACACTCATTCACAAAGAGTTTTTTCAGAACAAACAAAAATTGACTATTTTAACTAGTTTAACACTTCCATTGCTAAACGAGTGGCTCTAGAATAAATTTAATGGTGTGAACATCCCATGTCTTCGAAAGCACCTTCTTGCGGATGTGAAGAGGAGTGTTTGGTCCTGCTGTAAAATGAATTGGAAAACCAAAAATTTTTTCTACTTCTGAATAAATACAGATGACTCTGTCCACTTTGTTCATCTGTGACAGGAAACAATCCACCTGAAAACAGTTTTCATGTCTTTTCAAGTTTTTATTTAAAACCAGCACTGTCCACCCTGAACCACAAAGAAAGTCCTGCAGACCTTCACCTAGCTCACTGCACTTCCTGTTTCTGTACAACATTTCCACTTTCTCCTGAAATTTAAATAATGATTGGATTTCACATTTAAAGTGTGAAAGAGAAGACTTCACACTGTGTGATAGAAGGGGATGACTTTGGTAATGAGTAGCAGGTCATAAAAGATATGAACACTCCTCCTTCCCCCCAAAAAAAACATTTACAGTTGATGAGCAAAACAGAAATGAAAGTTACCTCACAGATTGGAATGTTTGTCCAGAAGTATCGCTGCCGAGTCATTGGGACAAACATAGAAGAGCATAATTTATATGGCTTGCAGCCCAGATACCTTTAATACCAAACAGAACACATTTATTGAAAAGAAGGTAACAATACAAGTACTTTATTCTCAATAATACAATAAAAATATGAGAACCCAGAAGGGAAAAGAAACATACGTGGAGATGGTGGTGCATGTTTCCATCACTGTTAAAAAAATCTGAAAATTCAGACAACTTTTTTCAGTCTTGACGTTATGAAACACCAATTAAGACTTTTTTATGAAATTTCAAAACGATTGCCTTAAATGTCAGACAGACCAGTCTGAAACCGTGCTTGGTCTGAATATTTGTACCAAGTCTGAAAATTCATTATGAGGGAAGTCTTAAAATTCAGATTACGCTGACTTATAAAAGGTAGGTTTACTCCAGACCGCGTCTTGTCGTAACAGGCTTCGCGATGTCTCGCTGCCTGTTCCTCCAATCCACGCCTGGCGTACCGGCGCTAGCCTGCCTGCGGCAGGCGGCTTGTCCATTGTCAGTTAGTTTTTAACTTGTTGAATGCTGGGGGGCTCCGCCCCCCAGACCCCCCTACATTCTAAATAGAGTTGTTTTATCTACAGATAACACGATCTTGACCCTTGTCACTTTTTAACTTGTAGAGGCTGGGGGGCTCCGCCCGCCAGACCCCACTTTCTCCGAGACAGAAGTAATCTATTTGCAGAAAACTCGATTTTTCGCCGTTGTTTAGGTGTTTTTCGGCTATAAAAACTGAACTAGTTGAGCTAGGATAGTGAAATTTCGCGTGTGCCGAGCCAAGGATATACCCAAAAAGTGTGCAAAATCTCATTGAGATCGGCCGAGCCGTTCAGGAGGAGTAGTGCGGACAGACAGACGGACAGACAAAACTTTTCAACCCCACTGGTGTAACAGGCTTCGCTATCGCTCAGCCAACAACAAAAACTGTACAATAAAAGTACAACAGGGATTGTAGAAAGTACAACGAGAATTGTACAAACCACAACGAGCCCTGGACTGTCCAGCACTCGTCATGCCGGTTCCATTGTACTTTGTACAACAATTGTTGTACTTAAAAAGTACACGAAATTCCTGATAAAAAATTTGCCAGAAATTTGTGTACTTTTGTTGTGGTTATTTCCTGCAGTGTACGGCAGCACCCGTGGATATTCCTACCATATTACTATCTGCATGAAAACTATTGGACAGCGTGTACCAATGTCGTACCCTGAATGCGCATTCGGGCCTCTTCCACGTCCACATTCTAAACGCATGCAGTGATGAAATGTGTTTTTATACTCAATCGACTATCCAGGAGTTCGCATGCTCCGAATGGGCGTCAAGAACTTAATATTCGCGAAAACGGTATTTTGCTCCTAGGAGGTAGGCAATTCCCGTTTGACGCATAGCTACGTCACCAACCAGAGTAAAATCACGTTGGGCATCCAAAGAAGTGGTCCTGTACCAAAACCCAAGTTGATAGCCAGTCAGATAAGGTCCATAGCCAGTCAGATAAGGTCTATTTCGAATGATTTTCAATTCTGCCCCTGGAAAATAGGCAAACGCGTGTACCGCAGCTCTGCAGGGGGGTCCACCTGGGCTCCACCTCTTAAAATGATCCTTAGGGTTAGTACAACAACTGTGCCGAGTGGCATTCCGGTATCACATTTTGCAAGGTGGGTCCCGGTATGCACCGCTAACGTCCGGACTACTTGCAAGGGCATCAATCGTTTATACCCTTGGGAAGGGCGTTAATGGCAAAGGAATTTCAAGCAAAATTTTAATGCCCTTCCCAAAGGCATTAACGATTTATGCCCTTGTTTCACCAGTGTGCAACCACACATAGATGCATACTATGAGTACACAATTCAGTTTGTAGAGTAACATTATAAAATTCCACGTGTGCACAAAATCGTGCAAGTTACACGTACAAAAGTCTGCATCAAAATTTGGTATGAGTGATGCTGATGGTTTGGACTCTAAAAAATTTACAAAGTATTTTTAGCATACATACAACAAACTAAAATACTTTGTTATACGAAGAAATAGTTTGTAAATTACGAAGTATTTTCTTAGTAAGCTTATGTATGCTCAAAATACTTTGTTATACAAACTACTTTCCTCTGTAAAGCCGAAAATAGTTTGTAAGGTTTTCTCAGTATGCGAGGATCCTGACGCCCCTCTTCCCGCAGCTGCTGTCTTTGCCTGACGACGCGCTGCTGGCCGTGCTGGCCTTCCTGCCCGCCAGGACGCTCTTCGCCTGCCGCGTGGCGTGCCGCCGCCTCAGGGACCTCTGCCTGCACCGCCACCTGTGGCGCTCCGTCTGCGTGGAGAGCCTGGGAGTGCTGCGCGCCGCGACGGCAGCCCTCGTCCCATGCATCGGCAGGATATCTCTCGACGTAAGTTGAAAAGATATTTCAACGATTCTCTTTAGAGTCCGTATACGCATGCACTAAATGTCTACGTAGTTATTTGTGCATAAGCTATACTTAGACGAAACTGTGCACGCGTTTCAAAATGCACCTTCTGGAAAGGGCAAAGGGTAGGGTGTTTCCTCGCGTATTCCGTAAACTAAATTACTATCCAGTTTTTCGTGCATAAAAGCTATGCACGAAAAACTGCATAGTGATTTAGTTTACGGAATACGCCAGGAAACACCCTTTGCCCTTTCAGTGTAGTGTGCAGACCCTGCCAGTTCAAATTTACTGGATTTACTGTGCTCTAGGTGCCGCTGCGATCCACGGCCGCGCTCTTGAAAGACACTGCGTGCGTTGTCCGTGCGCTCGAGCTGGCGGTGCAGAACTCGCAAGATGCCGCCCTGGCCTCCACTCTGCTCAGCGAGGTCTCCGCGGTCGGCGGCGCCACGGAGATCGTCCTGCTCATCAAGTGCAGGCGCCCCAACGCGCTGCAGCCGCTGCTGAAGGCGGTCTGGGACAGGCGTGGCCTGCTCACCCTCGACGTGACCAACAACTCGCGCAGGCCGCTGCCCAGCGACTGGTGCGAGGCCGACGGGGTGCCCTCGCTGACCAGGCTTCGCTACGACTCGCCCTCGGCGGACCCTTTCCTGGAACTGCTGCTGCGGACACACGCCGCTACACTGCAACACGTGGAGCTGCACCGACTGGAGGACGTCCCCGCGTCGCTCCTCGCTTCAGCTCTCCAGCTGCGCTCCCTGAAGTGTTCGCCGTGTGAAGGTTTGTCGAAGCTGGTGGACTTGCCCGATCTGTCCAGCATCGACCTATCCCATGAGAGTTACCTTAACTGCCACTGCCTAGAGGCAGAAAGCGCCGCATTCCCGCGAGGTACCCTGGCATTCCTCACAGAGGCGTCCCACCTACGGAGCGTCACGCTCTGCGTTTCCACGGAGGACTCTGAAGCACCACTGCTAGTCCAGGCAAACATTACAAAATAACGGGATTTTCCGGACAAAATTGCTAACAAGCTGCAATTTTGGGATTCGATAGAGTTCATATTGTAGAATAACATACCAAAAATCCCAAAACTTTTATCGACCACATTGGCCGCAATCAGCGTTCAATGTTCAAAATTTACACTTTTCGAACGGCGGCTATAACTTTTTACCTATTTGTCCTATTTCACTGCGGTTTCGCTCGTTCAATGCAGCTTTGAACGCTCTTGAACTAATATAAAGACATGTTTCGTCGTCAGACTAGAACTATCCACGCTAGAAGGCACAAACTGTCTAAAACGGGATTTGGGTCAAGCTGCAATTTTGGTCTTTCGTATTTTGTGGCGAAATGAGGCAGCGATTCTTAAAGTACCCTTTTACAACTCGTGTAGATCGTTCTATTGCGCACAAGAAAGGTCATTACGCATTTCGGGCTACGACGTACGGTTTAAGTCCTACGGGGACGGAAGCGGCGCGCCACGGCGCTCTGCGGGCGGCCCGGGCGCCTTGCTGCGCGCCGCTCCACGTAGCTCGCCGCGACCGCCCAAAGTGACACATTTGGCGTCGCAGTGAAGGAAACCGAAGCCAGTTAGAACAGAATGGTGAACGGGATATTGTTCTACAGCGCCGTCGCTTTCATTGTCTCTTCCGGAAAAGTTATGCCAAGCTCCGTTCAGCGGGATATGCGCCTCAAAGTCGGTGCGATGGCGCGTTTGTGTCACTTTGGGCGAATTCTTCACATTTTCGGCTGACTTCGCAGCGAACTTGCAAGTCAACTGTTCGAGCTAAAGTTACGCTCGAAGTATTTTTAGAAAGGTGGGATGACAGAGAATACTACCACGAGGGTAAACGAGCATTTGCTAACTTTTATTCCATGCACGACTTCGGCAAAAGTGCTAGTTTTAGCTATTTACTAAGAAATTTGATATTTTTCGCGAAGAGGTGCAAGGAAACAGACGAAATTTAACCTAATTGGTCAACAGGAGCCCATTTCTCTTCAGTTTCTCTTTCCAAATATGTATTGTGAATTACGACAGTCTCCTTAGTTTGTCTCGAATGCTTCTTTGAAGTTGAAGAAAATTGCCATTTCCCTAAAATAATTGTCAAAACTCACACATCGCACCTCGCATTGCTGATATAACAACGTAGTCCCAGAAGAAATTAAACCGGGACTGTGTTTGACGTCCGTCATATTATAAAAAAGACTCTCGAAATTAGTCACAACTACCTTAGTTTGTCGAGGAAAGTACCCCAAAGATGGAAGAAATGAGTCAACCACATGATTGAATTGCTAAAACTAGCGCTTTTGCCGAAGTCGTGCACGGAATAAAAGTTAGCAAATGCTCGTTTACCCTCGTGGTAGTATTCTCTGTCATCCCACCTTTCTAAAAATACTTCGAGCGTAACTTTAGCTCGAACAGTTGACTTGCAAGTTCGCTGCGAAGTCAGCCGAAAATGTGAAGAATTCGCCCAAAGTGACACAAACGCGCCATCGCACCGACTTTGAGGCGCATATCCCGCTGAACGGAGCTTGGCATAACTTTTCCGGAAGAGACAATGAAAGCGACGGCGCTGTAGAACAATATCCCGTTCACCATTCTGTTCTAACTGGCTTCGGTTTCCTTCACTGCGACGCCAAATGTGTCACTTTGGGCGGTCGCGGCGAGCTACGTGGAGCGGCGCGCAGCAAGGCGCCCGGGCCGCCCGCAGAGCGCCGTGGCGCGCCGCTTCCGTCCCCGTAGGACTTAAACCGTACGTCGTAGCCCGAAATGCGTAATGACCTTTCTTGTGCGCAATAGAACGATCTACACGAGTTGTAAAAGGGTACTTTAAGAATCGCTGCCTCATTTCGCCACAAAATACGAAAAACCAAAATTGCAGCTTGACCCAAATCCCGTTTTTGACAGTTTGTGCCTTCTAGCGTGGATAGTTCTAGTCTGACGACGAAACACGTCTTTATATTAGTTCAAGAGCGTTCAATGCTGCATTGAACGAGCGAAACCGCAGTGAAATCGGACAAATAGGTAAAAAGTTATAGCCGCCGTTCGAAAAGTGTAAATTTTGAACATTGAACGCTGATTGCGGCCAATGTGGTCGATAAAAGTTTTGGGATTTTTGGTATGTTATTCTACAATATGAACTCTATCGAATCCCAAAATTGCAGCTTGTTAGCAATTTTGTCCACCACGAATGTAATGTTTGCCTGGACTATGCGTGCGCTTAGCCTCTCGCCATCCGCCGCAAACATTGAAAACCTCGTTGCACTCGCTCATGATCAACCCGAATCATACTTACTGGGGGAGATCGCGCCTTTCCTATCCTCGTTTCGCAGCTTGAGGACCCTGATAGTCGAGGACGAGCCTGTGCACGAGTTCCTGGAGGCAGTCTCGCCCGCCGTGCTGCCGGGTCTCACTAAGCTTAAGTTTTCCATTCATGAGGACTCGTGCATGCACGGCACGCTGCACACCCCAGGCGTCCACGACCTCCTCATCCGAAACCCTCGCCTGCACGTATACAATTTTGACCTGCATGTAGTTTGTTGTGGCGAGTGCCCATGGTGCAGGTGGGGCTGCCATGAACCTCTGAAAGGCACTGCTGACCGCGAGGTGTGCTACTCGTCGCACAGCAAATCCGCCAGTTGCCCAGAGGAGTGTTTCCAGGCTTTCAGTCCCAGTTACCTACCCTATCCGAGGAATAACTAACGCGTGGTTCGAACGAGTCTCCCCGTCTCTGTAGGTCCAAGGGATCAATACTTACATCTGTCCCTTCTTTGCTGAGAAGTTTGTTTATTTGTCTGCATAACCAGTTATGCATAACCAGTTATATCTGGCCTCAATATCTCATTGTTTCCTTCATTGCTTACTTAAGAGACCATCATATCTCGGAGACCTGTGTTTCTATCTGTTGATTACAATCAAATCTTTTATTTTCATGTGTTAACTGCAATCGAAACAGTGTATTTCCATGTGTCAATTATAATCAAACAGAGCATTTCTATGTGTTTATTATAATCCAGCAGTGTGCCTAAGAATGAAAGTAAACCGCTGTTTTCAATGTGTTCCATTTGATCAATTGTTGGGTTGAATCAGTTCGTGATTCGGTAACCCGTTTGGCTTTTAAGCTCTGTTCTGTTTTATGCTAACTGATTTAAAGTGGTAAAGTGATTTCATTTATTATTCCGCTCTTATAGGACTTACTCGGTATTCTTGTACTTAAAAAATAATAAATACTATACCTTTTGTTGAAGCTCATTGTTCTTTTGCAATCCTCATTAAAAACTATGCTATAATTTCTGAAGTACAATGAAATGTTTTTACTTCCCACAGTGTCACGGTAATCACAGACTTTCCGTAAAAATAGAAACTCTGTCAAACTGCCCTGTGCACTCTGGCCGCACTGCGGAGCCGTGGCAAGTTGCTTGCCACAAAATTGGCAAGACGCTTTGAATACTTAAAACAGAAAAGCCTGGCCCTGAAATATTTCCGAACTTTCCAAAACATGGTATTGCCGGCGGCGGCTGTTCCGCCGACATTGCAAGCTAATACAGATTTTAGGTCAAAGCTTGCCAACTTTTGGCGCAAACAAACTTGCCACTGAATATGCGTTGTCGTCACACCGCTGGATATCACATTAGTCGGCGCAATCGGTGTGTATTTAGAATTTTGGAGATGAAGAGCTTAGATCGCATTGTGCCATGAAAATCGTTCTTCATTTATAAGGAGGTGCATTCTTTTAAAATTAATGGCACGTCCATCGCATTACATGTTTGCACTGACATGAGGTCTTTTCTTCTTCCCATGAGTCATACAATAATTTCAAGCACATCCCACAGCGACACAAACTGTATGAGCAATTAGCAGCCATGTCTGAGCTCTATACGAAGCTACAGCGTTGTTGACGTAGCATGCAACGGGTGTCTCTGGATTATTTTCCATTCATATTTCTTTTATCATCATCAGTTGATGCGCTTTATCAATCACCACGAAAACCTCCTCCTACACTGAAAAACGGTTCCTGGTTTTCCCAAGAACTCCCTGGAAATCGCCCATGTCTCTAACATAGGCTTCCTGGAAAAAGCAGGAACCGTTTTCACCTTGTAAATGGAGTGTCTCGCCAAAATTTAGGTCACACAAAAATGTCTCGCCAGAAAAGGGTGAGACTTAAATGTCTGACAAATTTTACTTCGAAACATTTTTGGCGGGAAACCCTAACTGATGTACTACTTAAAGACTTTGTGTTTTGGGTATTTGCATTCATATTTTGTTACTTAACTGACTTAAGTGTTCTACGGTGTGCGCCTTTCCTAAGTGACCTCTCCTTCGGGTTTCCGTCCTTTTATCCGATCCAAATGGCATGTGGTCATAAGTGCACGGCAAAAGTACCGCCTGGGATTCCCAGGCGGCGCCTGGAAAATAGGCCCTTTTTCCCATGATGCGCTTGGGAATCCCAGGCGGTACTTTTGCCTTTGGATCTTCTAACAGTTTTGAGGAATATAACTTTCGTCTGTAAGGGGACTGTTCGTATTGACATCAAAGGTTAAAGGAGAGAAGTAGCCCGATAAAATGCGTTTATTTCTGCAAAAATTCGGTTTATCTCCGAAAAAATGTGGAACATTTATGGAGGAACCCCTCCGTAAAAATATGGAGACACGCTCTCCGTATAAACATGGAAAATTTACGGAGTCTCC